GAACTTTCCATGCACCGAACTCATTAAAAACAATGGATATCAGTTGATAATGAGGCAGCATTCTTTGATGTAATTAAGTTCGGTGCATGGATAGTTTGACGTTTTACCGTATCAAGAAATTGCTATATAAAATTTTCCTTGCATGATGTCCAGACTCTTTTTAAAATTAACTTTGTTTTTTTTTTTTTTTTTTTTTTTTTTTTACGGTTTACATTTTTTTCCATTCAAATTCCTTTGACATCGTTGTCCTTGTATAAGAAGATCGAGTTGATGCATGGGAGAATAAGTGAAGAAAAGAGAGAAAATATGAGGCAAGAAATGCCACTCATTTGGCTTCCAAACCGTACCTTGTAAGGTTTGTGCAGAAAGCCAGCTCTAATGTACAACAATTTATCAAGAGCATAAAACAGTTCAAATTGTAAATATATTCTTCTGGAGTTTGCGGTAGGGATATGTTGGAAAGATGACACAGCTTTTATTTAAGTTCCCCGTTTTCGTTTTTACAGATTTTCCTTAAACCATAGTAAAGTTACGACTTCCTACGCTATTTCCTTTTCCTCCAATTCCTAATTACTTGTATAACATGCAGTACAAGTGGATAAGAAGAAAACATAAACACTTAAAGTGTGAAAATTAAAAGATGTACAACGCTGGAATTTCGGACGTCAGTCTTTCGTYGGAGTAATAGAATGTTTAAGTTTGAACTCTTCCTTATTCGCTTGTTGTATTCAACATCATCATTAGCATCATTAACGCCATCACCATCATCATCATCACAATTATCAACATCATTGTCGTCAATAACAACATCACCATCACCATCAACATCAACATCACCATCACCATCACCATTATCATCAACTTCACCATCATCATCAACATCAAAATCAACATCATCAACATCGACATCGATTTCTCCGAGGACGTTCAACTGTTACGCAATTGTTGAGCTTCTATCACAAAGTTGGACAGCACCTTGACAATGGTTTGCAGTCTGAAAGCATCTATCTTGACTTGGTAAAGGCGTTTGATAGTGTCTCTCATCAAAGGTTGCTCTTCAAACTCTCTCGGTACGGTGTCAATGGTAAGTTGCTGCAGTGGTTTGCTAGTTATGTCATGTGACGAGTTCAACGTTGCTTGGTCCAAGGATTTTCCTCGAGCCGTTCTCCTGTCCCATCAGGAGTCCCMCAAGGTAGCATCCTTGGTCCGCTTTTGTTCCTGGTTTACGTCAACGACCTTCCATCAATAACTCAGAACCACCTGGCACTCTTCGCAGACGATTCCAAATGCTCCAGTGTCATCAGCAGTGAAAAGGACTGTGGATCTCTACAAGACGTCCTAGACAATCCAGCACTGGAGCACTGAYTGGCGTCTGAAATTTAATACCTCTAAATGCGAATTACTTACTATTACACGGAAGCGCCAACCATTACATCGCGAGTATAGTTTAAATGGCCAGCCACTTAAGAGGCAGTCCGTGTAAGGATCGAGCAAAGTGGGAAATGGCCCAAAAATCGACCCACCTCAAACTTTGTCTGTAGAAACCCTACTATCTGACTAATACACTGGAGCAATTATTTCTCGAAAAAAAAATTTTTGAATTTTTTTATAAGCGTATAACGAATTTCGTCATTTTAGAGGGCACGAAAGCGAAAACTTAGCGAACTTCAAGATTCGCTCAAAGAAAAACCAAAAGATTGTTTCTGATGAAACTTTGAAGGAATATTTTCATGCCATTGGGCCGCAAGATAAAGTATAATGTTTTATATKTTGACTAAATTTACTGAGCGAAAATTATCTTATTGCTTCGGCTTTTTTTATTCCCTGAAGTACTCATTGCATCTAAATTGTCTGCTTCCCTCAAGGCAACATGAACRTGAATTGCAGTTTTAAACACTAATATTCTGTATCTCCATGAATAACGGGATCACTTATATATTATATTGTCAAAACAGTTCTTCTCAGCATTTCGTTTTGATTTCTGGTACGTTGACTGTGGAATTCAATGTGGTGTATAGAAAARCAAGAAGATCCACGATTTAAAAAATGCTCATATTTAATGCAAATAGGATTTCCATCAATCCTCGATCTCAATTCTCTCAGTAATGTTTAGAAATAGTGATGTCGGTTTTCCATTCAAACAAGAGCCCAGTTGTTGAGAGTGAGACTGAAGCCTATCACTGATCACAATAACTGGTCTGCTGTGTTTGGTTGGCCTTGTAGCAGTCATTTAATCCCATGGTTGTCAGCTGGTGAGCTTGTTGYCCTTGATTCCTGCTCAAATTGTAACTGAACTTGGTTCTGTAACTCAAAATTGGGCCAAAAGTTGGAAACAACATCATATTTTTGACTATTATTTTGATTCTCGATATTTTATTAAAAATATTCCAAAAATCTGAAACCCCATTTGACCCTTTTTTTCCTTTTCATCCCTCTCCCTGCTCCACCTGCCTCCCCTCCCACCACCAACACCACCATGCATCATTACACTTCGACGATTTCTTTTAAATATCTATATGAATGGCTCGATATTACATATAAAAAATCTACAGCTCATACATAAGAACTTTCTTATGTGTGAATATCCCTCACTTGTAAACATACTCATGAAATGAAATTTGATATATATTTATTGTTACTTCTTACTGTAAACATATATTTAATATATTTCTTGTAATAATCTCTTAATAATGCTTTTTCTATTGAAAAGCTGTAAATCTATTTTTGTTTATACGTCATTGTGTARATATTCGTGTAATTTGTTCAAACTAATGACAGGAATGCAAAGTCATTCCGATGGTCATGTCATGATTGCGTGACATGACAGTACTTTTTTTAATAAACATAGCAGCTCACTAAAGATAAATTCAAAAAAATATCAAAAAATTATGATAATATAGTGTGCTATAATGAAAAAAATGTTTTATTTTAATATTAATAACATAACATATATTGAGTAAAAATTGTATTTTTCAATAAATACATTTGTATTTGAACTTATGGCATATTTTACACTGAAACTAGTTTTTTTTCTATTTCATTTTGGGGGGGGGGGTAGGCATTTAAGAAAACAATAAATAGATGCGAACTTTTTGCAAAAAAGGCGATTGTGTTTGTTTTTTACACACAATTTATACACTGTTTTAATTACTTCCCCTTTACTTGAATGGTGCACGTGATGTCAACAATATTGAAAAAGTAGTATAGCTGTCTTTAATGCATATATATATAGATTACAATTGAAAAAAAAATTCCTATATTTGTATTTATAAATATRTCAATATAATACCATGACAATATTGAGAATTAGCATAACAAAACTATCGAGAACTGGTTTTGTTAGTGTAGGTATGTCAAAGCGTCATCATGCTTGAGGTCTTTTGTGAGAAGTCTTTTTAGAAAGAAAATGCAGTTTACTGAACGATGCATATGGGTATGACAACTCAAGGACTCAGATATCAAGTCAATGAAAACTCTAGACAGCAATTTGAATTGTAGTCAGAATTCCTGAAGAAGGCACGACGTGTAACTGTCGACGGGAAACATGCACTTAAAGACTGACGTCACAGATTGGTGCAAAGAGCCACTGAATAAATAGTTGCTTAGCTTTGCTTGGTAGGTATGTAAGGCTGAGGGCAAGAGGCCAGTTACAAAAGCGTCTGGTTGTAAAATTAAAGATTATATTACAACAACAGGYACGAAATATTTGCCAAATGTGTTCATAGTATCACTACTGCAGCTGACCGCCATGGGAAGAAAGGCACTTTGTTTGCAGTTTCTTTTGTTTTGGATAACCTTGCACACTGGTAAGTCTTTTTTTCTTCTTCTATTCTTAGTGTCTTATATAAGTCTTATCTTGAAAGAAAATCTTCTGAATTCGTTTTCCGTGAGAACAAAGGATTTTGGTGTTTACTTTAAGTAATCTTCCTTGCTTTAATCATACGATCGTAAGGAAAATAATCATTATAACTTATTATAACGCTCAAAAAAGTATCAAGCGGCAAAATTCAGTCTGGAAAGACGCAGCCCAAACTACTAGTTATCACTAAATATTTTATATACTTAAATGTTCTCAGATAATTGTACATCACTTCATGACTAACGTCCGAAATCCAAATGTCGAAAAAACATTCAGTTGCAGTCTCTTCATTTAGCAATAGCTGTATACTGTAGTGAATGGGCGGTGAATAGATTTGTCCAATGGTAATATAGAAAAGGTCTGATAATGCTAGCGAAACAGCACCTCACTATTGCTTCTAAAGGTGCACTTCAGGGGGGGGGGGGGAGGAACAATCTTCATGTCACTCATATTACTCAAAATCTGCAAAAACCAGTCAAATTATTAGGAGAAAAATATACCTGAAGTACTTTGATGTCACCATGGTACAGTATACACAATATGCTACGAATGTTTTGTAAGAAAGAGTTGGAGTAAGGTATATGGAATTCAGATAACAATGCTGTAGCTCGCCTTCATCGTGCCAATTGTCATGTATTCTGGGACTACGTAAAATTCATAATTCAAATTCCTGGCAAGTAAATCGGCTAGGAATGCGTCGCTCTCGTTGTGCTATTATCCCGTTTCCTGAAAGACAAAAAACAAAAAACAAACAAACAAACAAACAAACATAAACAAAAAATCCTTTGTATCGCGAAAACTAGAAAACTACTAGTAATAAAACACCACGGGAAATATAAAACAAGATGAAGTACTTTGATATCACCCCCAAAACAGTGTCCAAACTAATTTTCTAAAGCTCTAGAGTACCAAAGAGCTAATGTCAAAGTTCAGATAACAATGCCGTAAAAAAAGAGACTAAATTAGTATTAGTCGTCTGAAATTTTGATTTGGCTATTCAAAGCATGTATTCTTTGCTGTAAGAGACGAAGGTTAGTAGTGCTAACCAATGGAAAATAGTGCTTCGATTATATTTAGTTCGTCAGAGACTATAGATATAGAGTGGACGACCTTGAATTCGCTGTATGTGCGAGACTTCAAGGAATCTATTCATTTCTACTTGCGTCATTTCAGTCGTGAATATTAATTAGCACGATAGGGAACAGAAATAAGTTTATATCGGGGAAGAATGTTTGAGTTTATATTATCTTTATTGTTTTGTCGTTATTATGTTTTTAGTAACATTCGAATGAAAATAATATTCTGCAAGGGCAATCGATGCCTCGTTTAGCATTGCTTCATGAAACAATCAATTATTCAATGATCAGAATAAAGACAAGCCGACTGATATTTCTAAGCGAATTTGTAGAAAAAGCTCGGCTTGGTTGCGCGAGTAAATGTATTCCTTTCTGAGTGAAATAATTTCCCTTCTTCAGCCGAGTTTGCCTAACATTGCAAACTTCTTCAGCTGTACTAAGTCCTTGCGCGATACAGCAACCCAGTGCACGTGAACACCTACAAGGCGTCTTGCTATTACTATTTTTTTTTTTTTAATAGCGGCCTGAACATCTGCATTGAAGCCGAGAAATATTGTTATGGATGGGACTTCAATACTAGCTTACCGGAATACATTTATTATTCTCTCAGCAAGTATATCAGTTATAAAATGTGCTAAATTTTGAAAATGAATTCAACTTCTTTTGCATGTGTCCAAAAGGTACTGCGTCCGTTACAGTACGTCTTAATGGTACCAACTCCTCATCTGAGGGGCGGGTGGAGGTGCAGTACCTTGGCGTATGGGGTACTATCTGTGATGACAACTGGTCTATAGACAACGCTCATGTAGTATGTAGGATGCTTGGTTTTGCAAGAGCATTTATAACCAAGAGATTTGGACCAGGAACCGGGCAGATTTGGCTGGATGACGTATCGTGTAAAGGAACAGAGACGTCTATTGACAAATGCCGTCATAGTGGATGGGGAAACCATGACTGCCATCACACAGAAGACGTTGGTGTTGTGTGCACTAACGGTGAGTAAGATATTGAAACTGAAACATTGGAAGTGTGAGAGAGAATGAAGATAAGACTTGAACTGAAAAATGGAGTTATTTTTAGACTTTTTTATGCAATTTGATGCACCACTAAGTCGTTTTTGGTAAAAAAGATTTAAAAAATAATTTATATACATTTGTAACTTATCATTTGTGTCACTTTATTTATTGGTTAGAGCATCGCAGCTGGGTTTCACTGACAAACGTACAAACGGAACGTTAACCATAGACTATTTCTATAGCTAGTACTTTAATTGTTTTAACCAATCGTTTTTACAGCCGCTTCGAAAGCCAAGACGCCCGAATGCCCCACGCTCGCATAGCTCTGTTCTAAGTACGCCGCAACCTCTCCCTTGGGATCTACACGGGTTCTAAGACAGACAACTCTAAATGGATTTTCGAAAAGAACGTTTATTAACCGGACTTTTAATAAAATGTATACTTTTATGCAAGATATTGTAAAGTCCGGGGAAAATTTGAGGTAGCGCGTATAGAGTCTATAGGAGACCAAATCCCCTTCCGATAGCAGTCAGTGCATGACCTTCCTTACGTCATTTCGTAGGCACCCCTAACATCACTGTTCGAATGGCTAATAGCAGTCTTCCACATGCTGCTCAAATAGAAATACGTTATCATGGAGTATGGAAACCGTTATGTGATGATTATTGGTCTTTACAAGATGCTCATGTCGTGTGTAGAATGTTCAATTACACCGATGGTGCTGCTTTTGCTGTTCGAGGATACCAGGGTACAACTGGTGATGCATGGGATACACAGATCAGCTGCAGTGGAACCGAAACGTCTATTGACAAGTGTAAAATTCAACATTGGGGTGAGAGTGGTTGTTCAAGTGATCACAGAGCTGGTGTTGTCTGCCTTAGTAAAGGTATAGCTTTCAAGCGTGCTATGAAAAATTAGTTTTAAGAACAAAAAATAAAATAGATAACGAAAACTGAAACAAACTGAAACAAATGTAAATATACGTTATTATTAATATAGTATATAACTACCATTATCGTCGAAGAAGTGCGACCCGCAAAGTTTGATGTGTCGCTTGCCGACCAGCATTCTGACAACCATAATCAAAGAACCGAAATAAAAAAATATGTTGAGGGACATATTTAACTGAATTAAAGATTTTAATCCTTTAAAATCTTTACATTTAATCCAGTCCTATACTTCCATACATTTTTTTCGTTTTAGCATGCAGTTATTCGATCGATGTTTGTTGAAATGCTAGTCGACGGCGAACGAGACATCAAATTTGGAAAGTCGCACTTGACGATAATGGTAGTAAGAAAAAAGGA